TCCCGAATGGCTAATGTCCATACTAACACAGAGCCTCATCGTTTTTGGTTGCTGTTAGTCTATCCGGAATGAAGATTACACCTTAGCTAGAATTCAATCAGAATGGAGGCGAAGAGTGCCGTAATCAGTAGCTTTCATCTAGCACAGACAATGCAACAAATTATGATAAAAATGTTTATTTATCCGTAAATAACAAGCCCGGAAGGGTAATATAATTTACATGGTTTCTAGTACAGTAGTTGACATGTAGTAACCTAAGATTCATAGACGTAGTTTTCATTCCGATTTCATATTTTGCCAAGGAACTTCTCACTATCATCATTTGTGGAAAACGACAAGTAGTNGCTGATGATTTGGTCAAGAAACACCCAGTGAAACGTACCACTGATGAGTGCCAAAGAGACAAAAGCTCGGGACTGGTGCTTCCTGTGTACATAAGTGATTGGATGAGTTGCTTGAGCGTAACGTCGAGATTTTTTGCGACGACAGGTAGGAAATAAAGCGTCCAGTGTCAACGAATCAGTGATTCATCCTCTTTGAAATATATCTAAGTTTCATAAATTATGATGTATTTGTCAAAGAGGATGAACCACTGAAAACAAGTATTGTTTGGTACATTATCTTTTACTCAAAATAGTTGTTGATAGTTTAATGGTAAGGTTGAGAAATCTGTACTGAATGATGATCGTCCAGACATCGCTATGAGGCTCTAACAGTACGCCGGTCAGGCAGTGCTATTGGGGTCAGTGGGACAACCTGAAATACTTTTGTGGACGTACTACTTACAGCTTTCCCTCCAATTTTATTTCTTATAAGAGCTGAGAAATAGACATTCACTATACAATTTTATTTACTACTTTCATAACAGTCAAGACAATTATCGCATTTCACCCTGAGGTGGAAAGACTGAAAACCAGATGAAATACGAGACTGGTTACGCGTTGCAACAAAGTGGGAACCACATGAAAAAAACAAAGTAAAGGATGTTGCGGTTGGCTTCTGAAACATACATCACATCTATCCTTTTGGTTAGCACGTTGTTCCAACAATACTGTTGTACACCAGTGATTTTAAGGATACACGAAACCAACCTTGCCCAGAATCAAATGTTTTGTCAAGTAGAATATGGCTACTTATGAGTAACATTAAACCAAATAACATAAAACTAACTTGGTCGGTTTATGGCATCCCGATGAACAAAAGCGGACAGGTTCCCGGATGGTAACTGCCACATCCGATCCCCAGGATAGTAGTTCAAATCTATTTTCGAAGTTGAGAAAACTACTTCTTTTTGAATGGGACAGGGAATCTCACTTGACTTGATTACTGAGTTACCGGGAGATATATCCTATGATGGAACTAGTCTACCGAGCATTTCTCGGCGCTTCTTGGGATGATTGTCAGCCATTGGTCATCTGTCTCACGAATCCGTTGTAAACATAATAATCATGACGGTTTGATAGATGACTCTAAATGCGTGATTGCGATATCTGTGTGGGGACTGTGTCTACTGGATGTGTAAGGATGGCGCTAGATACGGCGCGACGGATTCAACTAAGCTAAGCGCGGGTGGTTTTCGCTTATACGGATTGATAAGTGGGGAGCCTTACAAAATATACTGAATGCTACACAGATACTGTTGAATCTGTTTGCCGCCCTCCACACGTTCCACCCCAACAGTCTGTCTAG